CCCATTCACAGGCAGCTCTGGGAATTTCTCCAGAACAGGGCGCTCTGAGAATGTAAAAACGGGTGTGTTTGCTGTAGTCCTGGTTCAGCACATGTTCTCTTTTCTCCAAGCATTTAGCTCTTCCCAAATGTAACGTTTGTTTGTCTCTTGAGTCTTTTTACAAGAGGGTACATATTCCATTCATAATAACTTGATTAATAATTGTGCAGTCTGTTCATTTAACTATGTTTTAAGCTCCTTTCTTACCTTAAGTCCGTTTATACAATTTGTAAATAAAATAAAAAGTGTAAAATATAGGTATCGTGGCACAAAACTTGACGTCTGTTACTCCTCAACCACATTCAACCTTCACAACTCTTCATCCTCATCACCTCAAAGAGGACGGAGTTATTTAATAGTTGTTTAAATGGTTTTGTTTGGGAAATTATTTGGTAGTAATTGTATCTAGACATTTTTTTTTTTTTTTATTCAGGGGGACATTTCTCTTTATTTCTAGTTGTTGTTATTGTGTTCAGCTGCAAAACGAATTAGTTTCCTGGCGCTGAAGTACTATGAAAAAGTCGATTTAATTGCAATTCAAATGATGTTGGGTATTATAGGAACATAAACACTGACTGCATGTCACTGGAAAACATTAAAAGGCTGAATGTGACAGAAAAACATTATCAGCTACCATTCTCTGGAGTGAATCGGTTGATTTATTAGTATTAATAATTAGCATTTAATTTGTGAACACGATCTGCGATTGATGGGACATTTTCTGACTAAAGGGGAAATGAAAGCGCAGGGAGCGCGGGAAACTCACACTACCGTCACGGCTGAGTTTCCCGCGCCGCGGCGCTCCTCTTTGATCTCTCTTTTATTTCCGCGCGGCAAACAAAGCTGACTTCTGCGTCGCGCTCAGTCAGAGGGCATTCCAGAGAAACGCGCACAAAAGGCCGTGAGTGACAGCGCCACTGTCCGCCACCCCAGGCGCATCACTCCCCTCCAAAAGCCTGAAAGGCACTTAGATCGTGTCCACGAATAAGCTCCCGTTTGTAAATCTTAATAGAACCATATAACGCGTGTAAAGCGTGCTCGTGAATGCCTTCACGCCCAAATAGCGCTCATTTCCGTAACACACATTTTGAATTGTGTGCCATAAAATCGTCGCATCCTACATTAACTTTAACTGTATTCTGTACACCTGCTATTTGGAGAAAACACTGCCTAAATTGGTGTAAAACGGAAATTGCATTTGATCATATTTAAAGCCTTGGCCCCTATATTTTGCAATTTGAAAGATTTGTTAACCTTAAATATTTTTTATTCGTTATTTGCCAAATGTTATCAGCTTTTCACGAGGTCATTAAATTATAATGGACTGTTTTGTATTTGTGTAGGCTATTTTAATTTTTTTTCCTGAATAGGCTTACTGTCTGCGATCGGCACCGGCCACCAGCACACCAAAGGAAATGAAAATAATTGTATTCTATTGCCTTCTGGTCAATTTACCTTGCAGCACAGAAAGCGTGTGGAGCAGACGCGCAGCCCTAACGTGTTCCCAGGCAGGGCTCGAGCGGTAATTATTCCGCCGGGGTTTCTGTGGCATCGGACGCTGCACTGGGTAAACACAAAGAAGTCAGAGAGCATCCTTGAACCTTTTCAGTACAGGGCCACTGATATTCAAATAGCAGCCAGGGACCATTTGACTGCGAGAGCATTTTCAATCCAACATTAGCATAAGGCCTCTCCCCAGTCCCCCTTTCAAAAGTGGCATCCAGAAAAGGCAAGAAAGGAAGAGGAGAAAAAAACTGTTCCCATACCACCAAATCAAGTGTAGCGTTTTATAAAAGCTAAACGATGCTTTATGCCTTCAGCACTCTCTTGGATGGACATTTTCCGTTTGACATGCAAATTTAAGCAGTTAATTTGAGCAATTCAAATAAATATGCAGAGGCCCTTTGTCACTGAATCCCCTCGGAAAATGTGCGATAAAGAGCTGCTGAACAAATGATGTCTCGGAGAGTAATTAGATATTTGATAAGACACGAATCCCTAATCGCCGATACAAGACACATGGGGCTGCGATGCGCTCCAAGTCATAATTAACACTATTTAACAAGATTTTCATTTGGACAAAAATGCCTTTTCGGGGCATTAACTATTGATTTTTTCCCCACTGGGGAACACGAGTCTACATTATCGATGTTTAGACTGCTCTATTTCATTTTTTTCTCAAATGTAAATAAATATGCGTGATAATTACGCGCGGGCTTTAAACGATTACAGTTGAGACTAAAAAATTGGGTGGAAACATTTGCACCAGACAACCCAAGCTTTCGATTTTAAATCCCTTTAATTACAAAATGAAAGCCTCATACGCGTGACTTTATACAATTAGACATTTATATATTTTTTTAGCAAGGTAAAAGGAAAGGTTAAATGAATTTGAAATAGCTGTGTGACATACATACTGACATCCACAAAGTGCGTCGAAAGGAAAGAAAAGTCCCTGAATTTCAGGATCCACCACAAAACAATCATAAGTAACATTTACAGGGGAAAATAACATGTTGTTTTTGTGGATATATATGTACACAATTAGCTCAGCCGGCAGCCGTGGTTATTTAGTTCCCTCTTTAGCGCACCGACTCCGCAGCAAATGTCCACTGTTCGAAACACTGAGCCTTGACGACACTTGATCGTCCTGAAAGCTGAGGCGTTCGTCCGTGCGCTGCAGAAATAGCCAGTGTTGCACTGAATTTGCTCTTTCCAATGCAATGTCAGAGTTTGTCACATACTCCAGACCCGTTTCCTATTCTTGAGTCACCTAGGAGATAAATGCTTTTGAGGGCATACTCGTAAATCATGCTCAGGACTCGTGGTGCGGAGACTGATCTTTGACCGTGACCCGTGGGTTCACACCCTCTAAAATCAGTTCGGGCGACTCGGACCTGGGCGTCTCCAGGTTGCTGGTGTCGGTGTCACTGTCGCTGCCCTTTTTGCCTCCGCCTCCAGCGGTGTGCGTTTTGATGTGTTTGCTCAGGTGGTCGCTCCTCATGAAGCGCTTGTTGCACACCGGGCAAGCGAACCGCTTCTCCCCCGTGTGAGTGCGCAGGTGCCTCTGGAGCTCGTCTGACCTGGTGAAACGTTTGCCGCAAAAAAGCCAGTTGCACACAAAGGGCCTCTCGCCAGTGTGCCATCTCAGATGCGCTTTGAGGTGAGACGTTTTCCCGTAGACTTTACCGCAGCCCGGGATGTGGCAGCTATGGAGTCCTTTCCTCCGCAGGCTGGCCCCCGCGGGCCCCAGCCGCTCCGCCTCGTGGCAGTTCGGGCAGTCGCATGTGGCGCGTCCGGAGTATCTCCTGGAGGACCTGGACGAGGTCCCTATGCCCGAGCTGGCGCCGGAGATCATAGCGTTTGTGGCCGACGCGTCCGTGTAAGTGGGAATCACAGTTTTGAAGCCCTCCTGCGTCAACAGGTGTTGGCTGGTGGACAGGAGGTGGGACGCAGTGGGGCTGATGCCGGCGGAGCTGAACGCGGAGTGCGTAAGGCTGGAGAAGTCCGGGTTGTAGCTGCTGAGCTGCGAGTGGATGGCTTGTGGGGTTCCGGAGTGCAGCGAACTTTGCAAAGTGCCTCCCGGGTTTTGCACCTCGAGCCACGACCCCGGGTTCGTGTGCACGTCCCACCACGCGGACGCGCCGTTGGCTACTTCGCCCGAGATGGTGGAGTGAAAGCCGGACTTGTACCACGATTCGTAAGGGTGCGCCATGCCGACCCGCGGATATAAAGTCTCTGCCGACGAGTGAACTTTGGAAAAGAAGGCGGACTGTCCTGACTCCTGCGAGGAAACGCTCGCCGTGTTGGAGAACAAGCTGCTGTACTCGGCGGAGAACGCGGAGGAGGTCGGCGAGGTCGAGGCCAGGCAGAACGCGCTGTTTGCCGAGCCGGTGCTGGGCGTTAGTCCCGAGGAGCTGCGGCTTGTGGCGACGGTGAATCCGGGCAGGCTGGAGCCCAGGTTGCAGCTCGACGACGATCTCTTCCAGGGATGAAATCCGCCTTTGGAAAACGCGCTGGAGTCGGGCAGAGTCGTGAGGGGACTGGTGTTGCCAATTTTGTTGCAGGTTGCAGCCAGCATCGCTAAAGGGGTAGTTCCAAAACGCGGCTCTTCCTGTTTAGATGAAAAGTTTATGCTGTTTACTAGACTGTAAAACAGTCGGGGTGTTCTGAAAAATCAAACAATCCAACAAGTCTAAACCAACTGTCTGAATAAACCCAAAACACTGAGCCAAGCGCCAAAAACAGTTGCTACACTTGTGCGTTTTTTCTTAGTAGTTTTCAAAATGGGCTAGTTGGCTCTTAAAAAGTCTTTAAAGAATTGCACGTTTACATTATGGTAGTTTTGTTCTTTTTTACTAACTTATGAATAAGCAATACACTATTATAAATGCAGTGTTTTATTATATTATTATTCTTCTTTTCCAGAAAGAATCATTTCGCTGAACATGGTTTTCGAGTGAGCTTCTTCAGGTTAACCTTCAGCGTTCTTTAAAACCCCAGAACGAGTAAAGGCTGATTTAAAAAAACTAGACAATTAAAATGCCTTTGTCAAAGTTGAAAAGGTTTTCTTGTGGCATCATTATTTTTAAGAATGTAAATAAAAGCCATTGAAAAGTTTGAATGCAAGCAAGCAAGCATGAAACGTCAATGCCATTAAAATGAACAGAACGAAAAATACACGGAAAAGTGCTTGCTTACCCGTTATTCTTCTTTTCCAGAAAGAATCATTTCGCTGAACATGGTTTTCGAGTGAGCTTCTTCAGGTTAACCT